TCATTCGGGCATCGACGTGGATGGCGCCAGAAGTGACATGACCTGACAGCGCATCCGCGCGCAAGCAAGCAACAACATCAGTCACAAGGCCTTGGGAGGTGCGTGGGTAGTTAGAAGTAGGACTTGTCAGTGCCCTAAACGGCGTTACAAAGAACAGCTATCACACTTGGAGTACCTGCTTATCATCATTTCCCACGAACCTACCATTATTGGGATAACCCTATGAGGGGTATTATAAGTAGGGTTATCAGTACAGTTATACTTGGTTAGTAAGTACCATGAACCTCCAAGTACAGGCAGTCACCAAAAATCTCTGCCATTGGTCGGTGCCGGAGCAGCCAAGCAGCTGCGATGAACGACAGAAGCACAGCCACCAGGCTGGGCCAGAGCCCCCCATAGCGCGCGTGGAGGACCTAGGGTTTAGGGTTTAGGGTTTAGGGTTTAGGGTTTAGGGTTTAGGGTTAGGGTTTGAGCTCCCCTTAGGACGCGTGTAGGACCTTTTGGCCCGCGGTTGGGTCATGGGATGCTCAGACGTTGACACTTTTTGTCGTCAACGGTAGGGGGCAATTAGAAATTAGTCAGAGTCGCCACGTTTTGGCACCAACCTTTCTCCACCCTTAAGGAAGGGATATTCCTTAAACATAAGAGGGTTCCTTATATGGTTTGAGGAACACTCCTGGATTAAGAAGTACTGGAGTGTCTGGCCTAACCCTATTCCTTAAGATTGGGGTATTGGAATCCCTGGGATTCCTGACAGGGGGTACTGGTTCTTTGGCATGTCGAAGTCTCTTGCGGGCTCTGCCTTGGAATTTAGGGTTTAGGGTTTAGGGTTTAGGGTTTAGGGTTTAGGGTTTAGGGTTTAGGGTTTAGGGTTTAGGGTTTAGGGTTTAGGGTTTAGGGTTTAGGGTCCTTTCCTATTGAGCAGTTTTTGCATGCAGGGCGCTGCTCCGGCAGCCGCAAAGACGAAGGATGCACCTCAAGCCATGCTGAGCCCTAAACCCTAAACCCGAAACCCTAGCCCTAAACCCTAAACCCTAAACCCTAAACCCAAAACCCAAAAACCCAAAACCCAAAACCCAAAACCCAAAACCCTAAACCCTAACCCCTAAATTCCACCCGGCCTGCATAGGCCGTACCCACCCTATACTAGGGTGCCTGGACCCAGAATTATACCCGGCAGCGAGATACACCTTTACTGGATGGACAATGGGTGGAGCCGTTGGAGAATGGTCGAATACAGCCCCTAAGGCTGAGCCTTGCTTTAGGACCAGTAAAGTGGTGCCTTACATTTACAAAGGGAACCCCATGATCCTCCTCTTGATGTGAATACCCTAAAGCCTGGGCCGGAATCCTTCGGTCGACGTTTCCCTGGGGGGTACCCTCCCAGAGCCAAAAAAAGGCTCGTTTTAAACCTGCCTGACGCCCCCCCCTCCAGCCCCAGCCCCTCCAGCCGCCCTCCAGCCCTGCTGCCCCTTTAGCCCCAACCCCTCAGCCCTCCAGCCCCTCTGGCCCCTCTGGCCCCTCCAGCCCCTCCACCAGCCCCTCCAGCCCCTCCAGCTTTGTTTGCACAGGAGCTGTGAACCGTTTTTCAAGGTGGGAATTGAGGGCGACAGCCCTAAAAGGCAGTGGTTTGGGTGCTGGCCTGTGAAAGCTCACAGCGGGCGAGGAAAAAGAAACCAACACCAATGAAAATTGTTGGGCTAGATTGAATACAAGTGCCTTCACGTGACATGCCGCCCCCCCACACCCCCTGAATGTGGGGCGCCATTTACACATAGTACTTACTGCCGCTGCGCGGCGAGACGCCCTAAACCCGAGGCCCTAAGCCCTAAACCCTAGACACTCACTTGGTGTACAACGTGGACGGAGGTACCCACGGCCCCTTACGAAGAACTCATCAGATTCCCTTAACTAGGCTGCAATACCCCTTGCTTCAGAAAGATGCCTTTAACACAGAGAAGGTTTCCTTACATGGTCTAAGGAGGAAATCTTCCTTCATGAAGGGGCACTGGAGTCTCTGGGAACCCTAAACCCTAAACCCTAAACCCCAAACCCTAAACCCTAAACCCTAAACCCTATTCCTCAACATCCGTCTGGGGCACCGCGGAGGGCCGGGGCTCCGGAATCTCCGAGTCGCAGTGCGTTGCGGGAGCGATAGGGCCTCGGCTGCTCACTGAGGGTTTAGGGTTTAGGGTTTAGGGTTTAGGGTTTAGGGTTTAGGGCTTAGGGTTTAGGGTTTAGGGTTAGGGTTTAGGGTTTAGGGAGGGTTTAGGGGCTTAGCCTCCGACATCGCTTGCTCGCTTAAAGGGGATTCCTTGAAATCCTCAACGAACATTCTGAAAACAACTCACCGGAAGATACCTGACATCACGTCAGGATCCGTACTGCTTTTTTGCAATGGAAGGAGAGTCCCTCATTCAGGGTATAGGGGTACAGTTTAGAGTTGAGGGTTTAGGGTTTAGGGTTTAGGGCGTGACAAAGGGAAGACTCTAAGGCCATGTCTGCGGCGGGGCCCAAGAAGCCAACGTCCTCAGCTCAGGACACGAGATGCCGATGACTTCGATGTTTTGGGTCGTGGGCTGTAGGGCTTCGACTCACACTCTTGCGAAGGGTTTAGGGTTTGGGATTTAGGGGCTCCGAACGTGAAGAAGCTACTCTTGCAGCGTGCATTGAAAGGCCCAGAGTTGTGACCGGATTTCAGGGTACTCGGTTTGGGGCTTAGGGTGAATTAGGAGGCCACCTGCTCACAAAAACGAACTCTAACCGGACGATGCCTCACCGAGGATTTTCTTAAGGAACCCACACAAAATCCCCGCAAGGCATTTGACTTGCAATGGTTCTTGAACCTTCAGAAAAGTCGAGTTGGCTGAATGTCAGGCTGGCTCTGAAGTTCGCAGGGAGCCGAGCGCAAAAATCGCCTTTCAAAACAACACACCATGTGGCACCTCACATCCAGCAATGCCCACGCAAAACCCGGCAACCGGTTTAGGGTTTAGGGTTTAGGGTTTAGGGTTTAGGGTCTAGGGTCTAGGGTTTAGGGTTTAGGGTTTAAGGTTACGATGTGGGCCGAGGTGCCACTTGCACTCATTTGCCAGCAGCACTGCAGGCAGTAGGGAGACGAAGCCAAGCACCAGTGCCCCAGACTTAGCGACTTTGCTGTTTAGGGTTTAGGGTTTAGGGTTTAGGGCTTAGGGGTGAACACTCTTTAGCACGATCACCCCTACTGTGCGACATTCTCAGGCGACATGCAGCCAGCCCTGTTCGAGCCTACAATTTTTGTTGACACTGTTCCCAAATTTCAGCAATCACTGAGCCACTAAGCCCAAGCCCCAAGGCCTGAACCCCTGCGGAAGCCTCATTCCCTTCCCACAGACTCCAACACCCCTTAGTTTCAGGAACATTCCTTAGAACATATGAGGGTTCCGTATATGGTTCAAGGACTATGTGTCAGTTGAGGGGTACTGGAACCCTGAACCGTAAACCCCAAACCCTAAACCCTAAACCCCAAACCCTAAACCCTAACCCTAAGCCCTAAACCCTAAACCCTAAACCCTAAACCCTCTGAGTGCGGCGTCTGGCACAAGCGACTCCGTGTTGTTCAAGGTCGGGTTGGTGAAGACGAGGTAGACCGTGAAGCCCAGGAGCCTTAAGCTGAAGGGAAGCACGGGAGCCTCAAGCTGAAGGGCTACCCAACCTCAAGAGGGTTTAGGGTTTAGGGTTTAGGGTTTAGGGTTTAGGGTTTAGGGCTTGGGGTTTCGGGGGTTTGGGGGTTTCGGGGGTTTGGGGTTTAGGGTTTGGGGTTTAGGGTTTGGGGTTCAGGGGGTTTAGGGGTTTGGGGTTTGGGGTTCAGGGTTTAGGGTTTGGGGTTTAGGGTTTAGGGGCTGGGGTTCAGGGGTTTGGTTTAGGGTTTGCTGTGGAAGGGCAGCCATGGGGAGCCTTCCGCCCACCCCTAAATACCCGCCAAAATCCTAAGCTTGCTTTTTGCAGTAGGCTTTAGTTAGCCCTAAACCCTAAACCCTAAACCCTAAACACTAAAACCTAAACCCTAAAAACCCTAAACCCTAGTTTTTCCGAAGGAAGCCCACGGGATCCCAACAGCCCTGCAACGCCCAAGGCACCAGATCTGGGGGCCAAGAGCCAGCACCACGAAAGCCATCAAGCCTGCAAGGGTCCGCTTTCACCACATGAGAGCAGGGTTTAGGGTTTAGGGTTTAGGGTTTAGGGTTTAGGGTTTAGGGTTTAGGGTTTAGGGTTTAGGGTTTAGGGTTTAGGGTTTAGGGGCTATATATAGGGTTCATATTTTGAGGGCCTGAGGCTTGAGACTTCTGCGCGCATGGCAGCACGTGCGGAGTGGGAGTCGTGGGAGCGCAACTGTGTCAAAAAACCGCCAGGTAAATTGTAGGGTCCCTATTATACGGATCGGGGGACTTAGGGTTTAGCAAGTAGGTGCCAAATACTATATAGGTGCTAAGTTACTATAGGGCTTCGGACCTCACACTCGCGCAAGGCAGGCAAGGCTTCGGCTCGAAGGTCCATCAGGTTTAGGGTTTAGGGTTTAGGGTTTAGGGTTTAGGGTTTAGGGTTTAGGGTTTAGGGTTTAGGGTTTAGGGTTTAGGGTTTAGGGTTTAGGGTTTAGGGTTTGTTAGGGAGTCCTTGGGATGGGGGTTCATGGGGCTAGGTACCTCTGGAACCTTGGGGAAGCTCAGGAAGCCTTAATGTGTATTAGGGAACCTTGGCTTACATACCCCTAAACCCTACACACCCTAAACCCTAAACCCTAAACCCTAAACCCTAAACCCTAAACCCCAGACAGGCCACGGCGCGCCTGCTCGTGGGCGCGGGGTTTTCAGGTAGGCCTCGCAAGTCCAGAGTCGGCCAATCCTGCCCACTCGGTGCTTCAAGCACAGGGAGCCCCAGGTTTAGGGTTTAGGATCTAGGGTTTAGGGCTTAGGGCTTAGGAAACCCTAATCCCTAAACCCGAAACCCTAAACCCTAAACCCCGAACCCTAATGTTGCATGTGTATATATATATATATATATATATGTATACATAATGTATGTTTACATGTGTATATATATATATGTATGTATATATGTATGTATATATGTATATATATATATGTATATGTATATGTATATGTATATATACATATATATGGGTGGTTGTCAAAATTACGGTCCCTTTTGGGGTGCCCTAAATATTAGGTGCCGTATTATAATAGGGACCCAAAAAGGGACCCTAATTTTGACAGCCACCCATATATATATATATACATGTATCTGTGTGTGTGTGCGTGCGAGTATAGTTTCAGGTGCGTTCCTTCGTTCAGTGCTATATGTGCATGGATACGTATACATTTCTCTGTCCGTATATTGTATATGTGCACATCCATGGTTCTCACACATGCATTTACCTACAGAACTGTATATGTATGTATGTGTACCATGCATATGTGTCTGGAGGCTATAGTTGAAGAGCGATTCAAGTATATTCCTTGGTTGAGGGCCTTGGGCTCCGTTCGCGGCTCGCGGGCTGAGCCTGAAAACAGAGAATCCTGGCGTGGATATGACCCTAAACCCTAAACCCTAAACCCTAAACCATAAACCCTAAACCCTAAACCCTAAACCCTAAACGAAACCCCCCGCACTTGGCCCGCTCAGTCCCTTCGTAAGGCAACGCAACAGTCCAGCCCGAAGCGTAAGCAGCAAAACCCTAAACCCTAAACCCTAAACCCTAAACCGTAAACCCTACACCCTAAACCCTAAACCCTAAACCCTAAACCCAAAACCCAAAACCCAAACCCAAGCCTCATGAACGTCATGGCGGAAATGACGGCAATCGAGATCCTTGGCATGGTGCTTGTCGGACTTCTGAACCCCTCCTAAAGTTTTTAACTTTTAGGCTCCTTCTTGTAGTTGCCTCAAAAACCTAAAAGGTTAAAGTCCTAAGAGCCAGCCTGAAGAAAGCCCCCCAAAGGTCCTTAGGTTTCTATAGGTTCTGTCGGGTTACCTCGGGATTGGGACCCAAGAGACATTCGGAAGTATTCCCGCAAACCCCTACAGTAAATTTAGGGTTTAGGGTTTGGGGTTTAGGGTTTAGGGTTTAGAATTTAGGGTAACCCCAAGGGCTAAACCAGTGGTTTCGAGTTGTTCCTGGAAAAGAGCGAGCGATGCCCGGAATGCCTCTCGGGTTGATATGGCTCTTTGCTATCCGGAAACTATGCTTGGCTTGTCTTTGCCATGGATCGCGCGCGGCCCTCAGAAGCAATAAGCCCTAAAGTCTGAACCCTTTTGGCAGGAGCAGCCAGGTTCATCTCCAAAAACCCTAAACCCTAAACCCTAAACCCTAAACCCCTAACCCCTAACCCCTAAACCCTAAACCCTACAAACCCCTGATCATAATCATCATCGGCGGCACAGTGTGTTGAGCGTCACCTGCTTTCGGATGGGCCTGCAATGCCGGGCCAGGCTTGGACATGTCGGGTTATACCCTTCTGCTGACGGAGTAGGAGTTTAGGGTTTAGGGTTTAGGGCTTAGGGTTTAGGGTGCTCAGGCTTTGTGGGCGTTCTCTATTCTGAAGAAACTTGGGGCTTAGGGTTTAGGGTTTAGGGTTTAGTGTTTAGGGTTTAGGGTTTAGCTGTCTTGCCCGACCCTCAAAATATCACTGTGCTTCGTCGTCGGCGCCCCAAAACGTGCTCACAGTCTAGGGAACGGTACCCTTCAAACCCTCTGAGGAACATTCCTGAATATGATCCTCTTAAACCCTAAACCCTAAACCCTAAACCCTAAACCCTAAACCCTAAACCCTCAACCCTCAACCCTCAACCCTAACCCTAACCCTAAACCCTAAACCCTAAACCCTAAACCCAATAAAGGAAAATATAAAATGTCCCAAGGGCCTACCGAGGAAACTACTCTCCACAGTCTTCGAAGGCAAGGTTCCCTCTTGGCTCTGCAAAGCGGTTTAGGGTTTAGGGTTTAGGGTTTAGGGTTTAGGGTTTAGGGTTTAGGGTTTAGGGTTTAGGGTTTAGGGTTTAGGTTTTAGGTTTTAGGGTTTAGGGTTTAGGGTTTAGGGTTAGGGTTTGGGGTTTAGGGTTTAGGGTTGAGGGCTTGGGGCTTGGGGTTTAGGGTTTGGGGTTTGGGGTTTAGGGTTTCTTGATCCGAAAGCCCTCCCTCACTTGCTTGAAGGGTTTTTCTTGCAACAAACACCACAACTGTTCCATTCCTGCAACAGACAGAGCCAATACCCGACTACCATGAACCCTACACCCTAAACCCTAAATTACTAAACCCTAAACCCTAAACCCTAAACCCTAAACCCTAAACCCTAAACCCTAAACCCTAAACCCTAAACCCTGAACCCTAAACCCTAAACCCTAAACCCTACCATCGAGCCTCACTCCCAGGCAGACACACTGCAGGTCTTGGTCCTCTCGCATGGCGACCAGGCACGAGCCCCCCTGTCAGGCGACTTCCGGAATCGCTAAACCCTAAACCCTAAACCCTAAACCCTAAACCCTACAAAGCCTAAACCCTAAACCCAAAAACTCCTACTTGGAAGCCCTTTTGACTTTGTAAGTAGGGACGGTAAGGTGGGTTTTGGGGACTACAATAGGGTTTCTAGGCGAGACCAAGTAGACTTACTAAATCAAAAGAGCTTCTAAGTTGGGTAGTTACATGGGCCCTTAATACGGTCCCTAACCTCCTAAAGGGTTCTGATGCATGGGCCCAAAGTTAGTACAGTGCATGTAAGGGTATATAAGGGCTACCCACCAGACTAAGGGACCATGAGCCCTTTATGCCCTAGGATGGCTGTTAAGACCTTCTGAAAAATATTCATAAACATAACCCTCTCAAACCCAATAAGAGAAAATCCACTCCACAAGCTACATTCCTTAATGACGTGGCTTTGGGCTCTCTTTGGTGGCCCAGTAACCTGGGATTAATGAGGGTGCCCTTCTTTTGCTTGAACGGGTTTATAAGGGAACCACAACCCCTAAACCCTAAACCCTAAACCCTAAACCCCACACCCTAAACCCTAAACCCTAAACCCAATTCGGGGGCACGGGCTCTTTGGGTTCAAGCCGCTTTTTTCTACAGCAAGCTCCGAGCAGTTCGTGCTTCCCTGGTAGCTGAGAACCGGCGTAGAAGTATACCTTTAGGGTTTAGGGTTTAGGGTTTAGAGTTTGGGGTTTGGGGTTTAGGGTTTAGGGTAACTCCCTTCCCTTTCAGCTACCCTAAGCACCTCCAAGTGTGACGGTGAAACGACGGCATCTGTTGCCGGCGGCCCTAAATCGAGGCCTGCGGATTTTCAGGTTTTAGGGTTTAGGGTTTAGGGTTGCCCTATGAAACATATTCCTGAATGTGATCCTCTTCATCCCAATGAGGGGAAATATAAAGTATCCTAAGGGGCTACCGAGTGAGGTTACTGTGGGGGGTACCTTACTGTGGGGGGTCCCTATTCTAAGGGAATCCTACTATTTTGGGGGGTTCTACGTTAGGGTCCCTATATGTTCGTAAACTCCCTAATAAAGCGCAGCGAATTTTTGGCCCACGGTCTCAGTTGGACTGTGGCCTCATGCAATAGATCGACGCCGATGGCGATGCTTCAGATTCGGGGTCGAGATGTGGCCTAGTTCATGGTTGGGCCAGTATTTAAAAATCCAAATTTCTATTCCTTATTGAGTTCAAGAAGCCCTAAACCCTAAACCCTAAACCCTAAACCGTGTAACATGTTACTCCACTATGACAAAGTGGCGGGCCAGGGAACGTCCGGGCGAGTCCTCCAGCGCCCGTGTCTTCTCGAGCTCTTGGTTCAGCGAGGGCAGCTCATTCCTATACTCCCCTTAGAACCTTTATAAAAATGAGATGTTTAAAATCCTCTTGGGTTTTATATAAACAAAAATAAAGGTAAATCCCAAGGGGGGGTATAGATTCAACTCTTCTTCGGAAATGCGGAGCCACGGAAGTAGAACGTTCATGCGCTTCTCCAACCGGAATTCCATTGATCGCAAGTTCTCTTGGACCTTGAAGATGGATCGCTCCCTCGCAGGCTCTTGTGCATCCTCTAATGCAGTCAGGAACTGGCGATACAGGATGATTCTGTCATTCTCCTCGGTTCTGTAGGTCGTGCAGTAGAGCATCTCAAGGAGATCAGGGGCTTCCAAGTGAGCAGCTTCGCAAAGTTCAGCCATCATCTCCTAGGCAGCCCGGAAACCGCAATACAAAGGGGCTGGGTACCACGGGTCTTCCTGCTGGTTCTTACTAGGGACCTTGGGGGGGAATAAGCTCTTCGGAACCCTCTATTACCCTTTCAAGGGAATATCTAGGGAGCCCCTACCTAGGCTCTAAACTCCCTGAGTCTAAGAACTGGGACGCTGCACCCTAAACCCTAAACCGCCCCAACCCCTAAACCCTAAACCCTAAACCCTAAACCCTAAACCCTAAACCCTAAACCCTAAACCCTAAACCTAGGAGGCTGAGCTTCCGGATCTGCCAAGAGTTGCATCATCTCTTCCTCGGATACCGATCCATCCTGATCAACGTCCAGCTTGCCTGGTTGCTGATGAGGACGGTTTAGGGTTTAGGGTTTAGGGTTTAGGGTTTAGGGTTTAGGGTTTAGGGTTTAGGGTTTACTTAGGGTTTAGGGCTACCAAAATACGGCTGTGTATCAAACAGTACCGCAGCCGCCTTTATCAGCCTAACTTGTGTCAAGCTCCTCATTAAATGAGCCCAAGCACGGAAGATCTTCTCCAGCTTCCTCCGCGACAAGTGCAACTTTTCTTGCGCCTCCTTCTTGGCATCCTCTTCATCCTTCGCTCGGGACGCTTGCATCATGTTATCCGAGATCACTGAGGTGAGAATCGCCAGCATCATCCAGTTTGACAGCATCATGAAGACGTAAAAGAGAATCTGACCCGCAGTTGTAGTGATGATCGGTTCAACAACTGACTGGTCGTCATTCATCAGCTTGAAGAGCGCCAAGAAACACCGCCAAACAGTTCCGAAGAGCTCCACCGCTTCTTCCGGGATGCTGTCAGGATGGTCGTAGATATACCCCTCCCCTACCAAGCACCTGAAGATGAGAGAAGCCGAATACAGCAGCAGAAACGCGAGAGCGGCCACCCAGCCTAGACTGCCCAGCGACACCACAACACCGTTCATGAGCTTGTAGAGCTGCCTCACGCTCCTCAGCAAGCGCGCAAGCCGTAGCACGCGGAGGACGCGCGCCACACGCAAGCTTTTCATGAGAGGCAGGGAAGTCGTGGAGACTGCGCTGTGGCCCAGGATGAGCGCGTGCAGATACTGGTACACCGGAAGCATCCACTGCTCAATGATTCCGAACATGACGATGCCGAAGTCCATCCAGTGCCATGTCCAGTCTTCGTGCACAAAGTACTCCTTAGTAGCCCAGTAACCATAATTTATAATCATAATAACCATAATAATAATCATAATAATAATCAGAATAATAATAATAATAATAAAGATGATAATGATAATGATAATGATAATGATAATTATCATCAGCGCACCCTTTTTTGAACCCCAAAAAAAGGCAAAAGGGTAGCCACTGGGCTGCCAAGGCTCTAGGCCGTGATAGGCCACCCTCACGGTGAGCTCGAAGGTATAGATCACCTTGGCAGCCCAGTAGCCCTGTTATTATATAAGGGCACCCTTTTTTGGGTTGGATATTTTATAAGGGAACCCTTATAACCAAAAAAAGGGTTAAAGGGTACCACTGGGCTACTGGTACCAAGTCACCAACATAACGTGCTCGAGATACTTCCAGAAGTAGCCGGGATAGTCCATCTCCAGCCACATCACTATGGCGTTTAACCTAGGGTGGCCCACAAAACGACCCTAAACAAGATTCCTGAGTATAATCCTCTTGAACCCAAAAGAAGAGCAAACCCTAAACCCTAAGCCCTAAACCCTACACCCTAGACCACAAACCCTGAACCCTGAACCCTAAACCCTAAACCCTAAACCCTAAACCCTAACAAAATGTCCCCAAGGGCCTACCGAGCAACACGATCATTCCCATCATGAAGCTCTCGAAGGCCGGGTGCTGCGTCCAAGACAAGTCAGACTGCACCAAGACCTATGCTGAAGTTGGAACCCTAAACCCTAAACCCTAAACCCTCAACCCTAAGCCCTAAGCCCTAAGCCCTAAACCCTAAACCCTAAACCCTAAACCCTAAGCCGCGAAGTGACGCGGAGCAGCCGGAGTCCACGAGCTACGCGTGCAAGTCCTCGGATGGCCCCCGTAAACATGCCCCTCTGCGAAAATGGTCCTAGACGTAGGATTTAGGGTTTAGGGTTTAGGGTTTAGGGTTTAGGGTTTAGGGCTTAGGGTTTAGGGTTTAGGGTTTAGGGTCCTCTTCAACCCAAGAAGGGACAAGACAAGATGTCCCTCAAGGGCCTACCGAGAGTCGCAGCAGCCGGAGAGCCCTTAAGCCACTGAGGTGCATGCCGCCGCCAGACGAGCTGCCCACGAGGAGAAAGGCGATGAGTTCTACCTAGACCCAAGAGCCACGGTTTAGGGTTCAGGGTTTAGGGTCTAGGGTTTAGGGTCTAGGGTTTAGGGTTTAGGGTTTAGGGTTCAGGGTTCAGGGTTTAGGGTTGGAAGAATGAGGGGTGCCCTGCTTGGGTTATGAAGGGGGGCTTTAAGGGAAACGAAACCCCAAAAAAGGGAACAAGGGCCTACTCCGGGTCCTAGCTACCCAACCGCTGGTCACGATTGTTGCGTCCAGCCAGTTCCACCACACCACTGTGCAGCGACCAAACAGCAGATCCCACTGGTAGTAGATTGCCCTAAGGACCTTAGAGTTGCTCTCAGTTCGCAAGCCCCCAAAAAAGTGTACACTTTCAGTTCTATATAAGTTGTCTTGGGTATCCCAAAAAAGTGTATAAAGTGTACTCATTCAGCTACGAAGGTACCAGCTCCGTGGTGTAGAAGACCAAGAACCCCCGGTCCGCCCACTTGAACCACGGCTGCGGCTTATCTTCCTGCCACTGGACCTATACTGAACTCGGAACCCCAGCAAAAATTTTCAGTTTTGCTGTTTCTTAGGAATTATAGTACCTAAAAAATTAAAAGTTTTGCTGTTTCTTAGGAATTATAGTACCCAAAAAATTAAAATGGTTTCCAAGTACCCCTAAGGGACGATCATCACCGCCAGGTTCGCCACGATCACCAGCGAGCAGAGCGTCGTGAACAGGAAGCCCTGTACGAAGTGGAGGCACTTGGGGCCCGGCGCCTCTTCCTCCGCATGGAGCAGGTGCTCCTTAGTTGCCCAATTCCCTGGCTTTAAGAGCTTGCACTTTACTTCTCGTAGGGCTTTGGTATACCCAAAAAGCTTAGAAAGTTCACCTAGTGGGGCTCCTAAGGCTCAATTTGCACCTCCTTGTCATGCATCTGCGCACGCAACAAGGCAAGCTCCTCCTCGAGTGGCGCCCTCCTTGCGTTCAGCGCCCGGTCCAGCATGGCAAGCTCGAACTCCAAGTCTTCTTCCTGTATATACCTAGGACGGCTCCCCCATATGAAAAAAAATATTCCTAAGTAGAGTCCTCTTAAACCAAAGAAGGGAAAAGACGAAGTGTCCCAAAGAGCCTGCTGAGATACAATTCATCAAGGTCTGCCTCGTGCGATGCCCGGCTGTCCAGGTGAAAGGGGGTGTAGGCGTGAGAGTCTTCCTGTTTGGGAGTCTCTCCCGCTTCCGAACTGACAGCCGCAGCAACATAGCCCTGGCTGTCACGCTCACCTGCCTGCGGCATTCTGTCTGAGCCAATCCGTGGCTTCGGGCAGCTTCGCTTCTGGAATCGCCGGGCCTTTGCACCCCCCCCGAGAGCCCCATACCCTGATGAAGAGACAATGAAATATGCAAGGGTGACTATGATTAGAGCTAAGAATACTCATAATCATCATCATCATCATCATCGTCATCATCATCATCATCATCATCATCTTGCGGCCAAATGATAGATTCTCATCGCACCTGTACAGAGGGGGTGTTGGGGCTCTTCTGGGTCCCACCCTTACCCCTAAACTTAACCCCTAAACCCTACAGGCTTCTGCGCATCCGCCCAGAAGTGTCCCACCAGCACTCCGAACAAGGCAAGACACAGAACCGAACTCATGGGCGAAAGAATATCGGTAAACCCTAAACCCTGAAACCTAAACCCCAAACCCCAAAGCCCAAACCCCAAGCCCCAAACCCTACACCCTACACCCTACACTGCCCTACACCCTACACCCTACACCCTAAACCCTAAACCCTAAACCCTAAACCCTAAAACCTAAACCCTAAACCCTACCCAACAGCTCCCAAGCGCCACTCTGTGCTGCTCCGGCCTGCATGTCCTCGACGCACGCACTTGGGCAGTATCCTGGAAACGCCGTACTTGGAGGGTCATGGCTAGACATATGTGGGGGGTTTAGGGTTTAGGGTTTGGGGTTTGGGGTTTGGGGTTTGGGGTTTGGGGTTTGGGGTTTAGGGCTACTTGGATTTTCATGGGTAGTTGCAAGCAGGGTTGTTAAGTATGGCAACTGAGCCTAGACCCTATGTCGGTACCCATGAGCTGCGAAGTGCCCCCCTTAATTCAGGAATGTGCACACAGACTCCAATCCTACGTTGTTTGACCCTAAACCCTAAACCCTACACCCTCGACCCTGAACCCTTCAAGCCCCCAAAAGTCCGGAAGCTAATCATGGCATAACATCTCCCCAGGACACGCGCCCGGAGACCTCAATATCCCTTGATTCTAGAATGTTACGTAAATAGGTTTAAGGAGTCTTCCTTCATGAAGGGCTGCTTGGGGTCTCCCTAAACCCTAAACCCTAAACCCTAAACCCTAAACCCTAAACCCTAAACCCTAAACCCTAAACCCTAAACCCTAAACCCTAAACCCTAAACCCTAAACCCTAAACCCTAAACCCTAAACCCTCCCGCCCGCCAAGCAGTCCTTCGCCTTCCCCGAAGCACGCCCAAGCGTACCTTCAGGCCGCTTAGGGCTCAGGGCTGGCAGCCGATGGAGCCCCGTACTGTACTTAGTTAAAGAGTGTAGGGTTTGGGGTGTAGGGTTTGGGGTTTAGGGTTTAGGATTTGGGGTTTAGGGTTTGGGGTTCAGGATTTGGGGTTTGGGGTTTGGGGTTTAGGGTTTGCAATCGTAAGCAAGATCCTATAAAGGATGCACATTCCCTATTTGACGGGTGATTGGGCTTTCTGGGGAATCGAAATCATTAAAACATTCAAACCCTATGCCCTAAACCCTACCATGTCGTCAGGCAGGCTGCTCGACATCACACGGCGGGCCGTCACTACAGTCCTTCATGTTCCGCTCGTTCGGAAGGAGGAGGTAAATCCTCGGCATCACCCCTAAACTTCTATTTGCTTAAGAACCTCCCAAAAAATCAAAACATGTTGTTCCTTGTAAGGGAAATATGAGGCTTATGTTCTATATATATATAACTTATTATTCTTTTTTTTTTGGGGGGGGGGTGTTCTGAAGCAGATAGCAGGAAAGCTGTCAACGTTGCGAAGTGACTTGTTGTACCTCTTGCAGCTTCTTCTTCCGCAACCCTGTGGCTCCAATATCCTTTATAGTTTAGGGTTAGGGTTTAGGGTTTGGGGTTTAGTATAGTCCACTAAAACTTACTCCTGCAAACATACTATACATCAGGATTCTTGTTGCGCATCGCGCGTTTGTTCATATTCCCTAGTCAGCAGGGGTGGGTGCCTCTGAGGACGCTCTCAAGTGTCAGCAGAGGGTCAGCTTGAGGCAGAGCAGCAGAAACCGGCACGTCACGCACCCGCGGAAATGGCGATCCTGCTCCGCACATTCCGACCGCAGGGTTTCAGCGCTCACACGAGGATCAGGCAGGGCAGGCACAGACACCCTCAGACGCCCTCCCCCTCAGAGCCCTATTGTGGTGAGTGCTGTTTGGTGCTTAGGGTTTAGGGTTTAGGGTTTAGGGTTTAGGGTTGAGGCTTAGGGTTTAGGATTTGGACCAACAAGCTGGATGGGCACAGAAGTCGTTCTATGAGGCGTGTCATTGTCCCTGACAGAGACATTAGGCTTCGAGATGCTGTCGTCTTGCGATCCTCAACCCTAAACCCTAAACCCTAAACCCTGAAGCCCCCTATATCATGTAGGGTAGAGCTCATGATTTCGGGGTATTGGGCTTGAAGAGAGTGGTATGAGGCCTTCAACCAGCCCAGAGGGTTTAGGGTTTAGGGTTCAGGGTTCAGGGTTTAGGGTTTAGGGTTTAGGGTTTAGGGTTTAGGGTTTAGGGTTTAGGGTTTGGGGTTTGGGGTTTGGGGTTTGGGGTTTGCTGTAGTCTGATCCTCAAAGGCCAGGAGGAACGGGTACATGTGCCCAAATCCTTGGCGATTCGGATGGCTATTTCTGGGTCTTCGTAGGAAATCAGGGGGGAATGAGGGTCCTATATATATATATATACCCTTTAAGGGAGTAAACAGGGTCCTATATATACCCTTTGAGGGAATAAATAGATACCTCAATGCCCCAAATCCTTAGCGACGCGGACGGCTACGCACACGGATGGACTCTACCTTGGGATGTTCCCCTCATACTAACAGTCCTTACTAGGGATGATAATTGGGTGGCGGGGGTACTATAATCCCAATTGAGGACTGTTAGCATATGGGGGAACGTCCTCTTGTTCCGAAGTTCCTGTGCCGAAGGGGGGCCCCGCACAGAGCTACGGGGAAGTGCGCTGTGGCGGGGCACACGTCCAGGGCAAGCTGCTGGCCAAGAACCCTCAACCCTAAACCCTAAACCCTAACCCTGAAAACGAAGCCAGAGCCAGGAAAATTGTTTGAACCAAGCCGGTTGTAAGGAGCTACCACAGATGCTACTTGGAGGTTCATTGGAATTAATGACCACTTAGGGTTTAGGGTTTAGGGTTTAGGGTTATAAGCCTACTTATAATAGGGATAACCCCTATAAGGCCCTTTAGGGGTATTCTCAGTGGGGGTATAAGTACAGTTATAATTGGTGAGTAAGTACCATGAATCTCCAAGTATGGACTGCAAGGAGGCTGGGGAGGTTAGCTGGGTGCCAGTGCCCTTCACCTTTTTCAAGACCATGGTGCCTGGATCAGCAACAACCCCTCGTGCAGGGCTGAACCCGTAAATTGTTGAATTGCCGTCGTTCAGCCCCCCTAAACCCTAAACCCTAAACCCTAAACCCCAAACCCTAAACCCTAAACCCGTTTGCTCCTCCCAGCCTGTCTTCTTGCCCCAATGGGCCTCTCTGATGTGCTGTTAGGACGTCCCAGACCCGTCAAAAAAGCCCTGTTTGCCTAAACCCTGTGAAAAAAAAAACTTACCCAAAATCCAGAACCCAAAACCCCTATAAACCCCTATAAACCCCTTCAAACCCTTTAAGCCCTCAGCAAAAAAAAACTAACCTAAACCCTAAACCCCCTTTTACAGGCCTCTGCAGTGGGCAAGTACCCCCCAAACCCCTTGAACCCCTAAACCCTCCAAAAACAAAACTTAAGGCAACAGAACTCCAAGTATCGAGGTGCCTACAACCCTAAACAACCCTAAACAACCCTAAACAACCCTGAGCCCCTAAGCCCCTAAGCCCCTAAACCCCTGAACCCCTAAACCCTTTTTCAAAAACCTTAAGGCAGTACAACTCCAAGCATCGTGTTGACAGTATGGCTGCCACATGCCTCAGCTGCCAATCCGTTCTGGACAAAGGGAAGGGAGTCCCTCAGTCCTGGGTGCGCTCTTGCCTTCAGAAATCTCGCAACCCTCCCAAAAGCTCAAGCACCCCCCCCCCCAAGAAAAAAATATAATAATCATAGAATATTCTTCCTTACGAGGGGAATATAGGGCTTTTATTTTTCAATTGTTTCGGGGATCTTAAGCCCTAAACCTTAAACCCTAAACCCTTAACCCAAAACCCTAAACCCTCCCAAAGGCAAGCTGCAGAAGCAGAGAGCCACAGCTTGTCAGCAGCGTGGCGAAGATCAGCACCTGCCCAGGGTTTAGGGTTTAGGGTTTAGGGTTTAGGGTTTAGGGTTTAGGGTTTAGGGTTTAGGGTTTAGGGTTTAGGGTTTAGGGTTTAGGGTTTAGGGTTTAGGGTTTAGGGTTTAGGGTTCGGCTTCCCACAGATCTACCACGACGATGTCGTTGCATTGGTAGGAAGCATGTCTGCCGGCAGCTTTAGGGTTTAGGGTTTAGGGTTTAGGGTTTAGGGTTTAGGGTTTAGGGTTTAGGGTTTAGGGTTTAGGGTTTAGGGTTTAGGGTTTAGGGTTTAGGGTTTAGGGTTTAGGGTTTAGGGGCACCTTGGACCAGGCTTAGGGCGTAGGGTTTAGGATCATCTCCATTGACTTGGAACTCTCACTGAACTTACGTCGGCCTATATATTGCTTCACTGCTCTGCAAACACTGTAAATGCCTCTGCCCAAGACGTCCACCAAACACCCCGGCAGAAAGAAGGCCAAGTCCCAAGCCCCAAAAACCCTAAACCCTAAACCCTGGACCCTAAACCCTAAACCCTAACCCTAAACCCTAAACCCTAAACCCTAAAACCTAAACCCTAAGCCCTAAGCCCTAAGCCCTAAGCGCCTGCCGCTGTGCATTGAGATGCTCACGGCTTACCTGGCGGCTGTCTGAGCCCCGGCGGCGCTTTGGCCCAGGAGCTTCGGGTTTAGGGTTTAAGGTTTAGGGATTAGGCTTAGGGTTTAGGGTTCAGGGTTCAGGGTTCAGGGTTCAGGGTTCAGGGTTTAGGGTTTAGGGTTTAGGGTGTAGGGCGTGGCTTCAGGATCCCAAAGACTCCAATACCCCTTACTTGAGGAATATTCCTTAGATTCTAATTGGGTTCCCTATGGGGTTTAGGGTTTCGGGTTTAGGAATATTCCTCGAAACCACGCAAGGAACCCAATTATAATTCAAGGAATATGCCTTAATGAAGGGGTCTTGGAGTCTCTGGGATCTTCGTAGAACTCCCGCAACAGAGCAAGGGCTTGGGCTTTGGCTTCTTTGGCTTGGGCACGTCATTTAGGGTTTAGGGTTAAGGGTTTAGGGTTTAGGGTTTAGGGTTTAGGGTTTAGGGTTTAGGGTTTAGGGTTTAGGGTTTAGGGTTTAGGGTTTAGGGCGGCCCAGCGCAGACCTCATGAAACTGGGCCGCGAAGAGCATCATCGTGTAGGCATCGTTGGCGCCGGAGACGAAGTGGACCAGCATCCCTGGCCGGCATTGGGGTTCCATGAAACACCCTAAACCCTAAACCCTAAACCCTAAACCCCCAAAACGCAAAAGCAATTCCAACAGCCCCTTTTGCAAGAGGCTTTGGCGCTCCGCCTTCCTAGATCCTGTCCCAGAAAACCCCAGCACTGGTGGCCAAGATTGACTAACTGAAGACCGGAAACTCAGATCACTGAAAGAATTCGCAACTGGAGGCCTTGTGGACGACATGCGGCTTGAGGATGGCACCCCGATGTTCAGCATTAGGGGGTTTAGGGCTTAGGGTTTAGGGTTTAGGGTTTAGGGTTTAGGGTTTAGGGTTTAGGGTTTAGGGTTCCAATCAACCGCTGCCGGCTGGCAGCGTGTGTAGTCGAAAGCCGGTGGCCACCGGATTGTGCCTCGATTCGGGACAGCTTCGCCCTCAACTCCGCGACGGCCGCTCGTCTGTTGGTCCACAAGCTCAGGCGATCTATCACCCACGGAGTCTGTGGAGCAATTGTGCGGCCAAAAGCCTCGGATGGCTTTTCAGAACCTTGTCCAACAATTTCTTCGGGACGCTTCCCAGGGTCCTCCCAGCCAGGGGCCTTTCAGGGGCCTCCCAAGGCTCTCAGTGGCAATGTTCCGAGGCCACCCAAGAGCACAGAACGCAGACGCTAAGGTGCGCCACGTCAAGGACCTTGATCTTCTTATAGCCTTATAGAAAAGGTAGCGCTTGAAACAGCAGCCGTGGCCACTTTAACTACTCTGAACGCTGAGCCCTATGTTATCGGGGTCGGAATAGTTGCTAGCAGTCCTCCCCTCTGGCCCCCTATATAAATATCCTATAATACCCCCCCCCCCCCCAAAAAAAAATCCTATTTTAACTGTTTGAGGGCCCTACAATAAGCCCCAAGTATACTACAATAACCCCCCAAGACCCTATTCTAACCATCATAACCCCCCAAAACCCTATTCGAACCATCACAACCCCCAAAACCCTGCTCTGACCATCACAACCCCCCAAAACCCCTATTCCAACCATGAAGGCCCCTATATTCAGCCCCCTGCGCCTGTCGCCATCCCGCGCTGCACGCGCATCAGCACCGGTGACAGCCGCTTTGGCGCCCGACTCCGGCGGCCCTGCCGACTGCGAGCGTTTCGGGGGGCTTAGGGGCTTAGGGCTTAGGGCTTAGGGCTTAGGGCTTAGGGCTTAGGGCTTGGATTTCGGGTTTAGTTAGGGTTTAGGGTTTAGGGTTTAGGGTTTAGGGTTTAGGGTTTCGGGTTTCGGGTTTCGGGTTTCGGGTTTCGGGTTTCGGGTTTCGGGTTTCGGGTTTCGGGTTTCGGGTTTCGGGTTTCGGGTTTCGGGTTTCGGGTTTCGGGTTTCGGGTTTCGGGGCTCAGGCTTTCTAGGGGGCCTCTGCGTTGCAGCATAGTCCTTTCGCAGTTCATGCGGGGGTTGGCCGGCTTGGGAGGTAAACATCGCGGTGGGCCTTCTGTCTGTGCGGTTCTTGGGGCAAGACAAAGTTGAAGCCAAGGGGGGTATAGGGTTTAGGGCCGAAAGGCTGTTAAACTCCACGATTCCACCGAAGCTCAGGAGCTCGCGAAACCTCACACAACCCTTCAGCCCCAATCTTTTGGTGTAGGGTTTAGGGCTTACGGTTTAGGGGTTTAGGGTTTAGGGTTTAGGGTTTAGGGTTTAGGGTTTAGGGTTTAGGGTTTAGGGTTTAGGGTTTAGGGTTTAGGGTTTAGGGTTTAGGGTTTAGGGTTTAGGGTTTAGGGGCCCCCTTTATTACCAGGGGCCTGTTGATGTGCCCCACCTGGGGCAGCCTCTACTTTGCAAAGCCCTGTGGCTTGTGTTGCTGAAGACTCATAAACTACATCCCGAAACCCAAAACCCCCCTAAACCCTAGACCCTAAACCCCAAACCCCAAACCCCATAAACCCTACGCCCCGGCAACCCGGAGAATTTAGCAATAGCGCCTCCCGCACGAGCACTTCTGCCTGGCAGGCTCCAGGTGTCGCGAAACCCCAAACTCAGAGACTCCAATACCTTGGCTATTCTTAGGAGGGTAGCTAGAAATTAAATTTTTAGCTGCCTTGGTAAGAAACCCAATAAGCCCAAAAAGGCTAAGGATCTAAAGTTACAGTAAAGCACCACAAAGAATACCCTTAATTAACTAAGGAATGTTTCTTAAACCCTATGAGGAGCCCTACTACATTTCAAGGAGTATTCCTGAATTAAGGGAAACTGGACTGTCTGGGAAGTCGAATCAGGGGACGATGGCTCGTACCCCTTAATATGCTCCTAGTACCACCCTTCTATTCTCTTAGAGGATCTTCGGATCTTCAACCCTACTTTGCAGTACACCCTGGAAAAAAGGGTATATACGTTTGAGGTCGAAGTAGCTACAATCTGAACCCAGAACCAAACAAAGCATTACAGTATAGTACTCCAAAACCCTAAACCCTAAACCCCAAACCCTAAACCCGAAACCCTGAACCCTAAACCCTACTCCAACGCCCAGTTAAAACGGGTCCCAGTAAACCCGAGGGTGCAACATAGAATCCCATGATCTAAAGCCTAAACTTGGAGGTTCGGGGTACTTGTAACCCTAACTATAACTGTACTTATGAGCCCCCTAAGTCAAGTAAGTAGGCTTTTAGTAGACTTATAACGGTGGTTATAAGTACCCATGAACCTCCAAAACCCTAAATCCTAAACCCTCAACCCCAAACCCTGAATCCTGGGCCGGTGGTGCGTCTAAGGGTTGTGTTGGGGTAGTTTAGGGTCTGTTGGGTTTTGGGGCTAGTTAGGGTTATAAGTGTAGTTACCATTCCTCTAGCCTAGAACCCTACTCAGAACTACCCATGATCCTCCAAGGCATCTGATATTCTCTTATCTGGTGCGGATACCATAAGACATCGGATTCTATTTCAGTTTATTGAGTAGAATATGGCATGCTATGCTATGTTGAATCAAAGGATGTCGCGCCCCAAGTCGCAAAGACATGGACAACGTACAAAGTCCGTGGAGTACCTCCCCCGAACAGCTACAACTGTATGGTTTTTGTTTTCGGATTCGTTCCTCCGCTGGCCAGGCTAGGTTGTACTCGACGTACCCCGTGGGGCGCATAAACTATGTGTCTGGTCATATATGGCTATGCCATGGTTTTGAGGTTTTGCCAGTAAGGCGGTGCCTAGGCATGTGATGCTTGTGGCTGCTTAGGGTCGAAAGGACATCCCAGCATGTAAGGGGTACAGGGCTCGGAGGGGGTTTCCCGCCCTGCCATCCCTCAACCCGAAACCCTAAACCCCTTGTGCAACAGCCTTGCCACCCTTTTGAGCCCTAAACCCTAAACCCTAAACCCTAAACCCTAAACCCTAAACCCCTAAACCCTAAACCCTAAACCCCTAAACCCCTAAACCCCTAAACCCCTAAACCCCTAAACCCCTAAACCCCTAAACCCTGAACCCCGCCTCGATCGGTACATCACCCGGACCTTGCTGTCCTGGCTGGTGGAGGGCTCAGCCACGGGGAGTTTCCGGGCAACAAAAGCTTGAACCCTTGGGGTTTAGGGTTTAGGGTTTAGGGTTTAGGGTTCAGGGTTTAGGGTTTAGGGTTTAGGGTTTCAGGGGCTTGCCAGTTGCTTAAGAACCCCCACAAAACAAAAAAGACTCTTCCTTATAGGGGTAGCATAGGGATTGTGACTTTTTCTTTTTTTTTTTTTTTGGGGGGGGGGGGGTTCTTAGGCAAATAGTAGGGGTGTAGTAAGGGTTCCAAGTATGGGCCCTTCATTTGGGTGCCTTGTTCTATAGCCCTTATATACACGGTACATAGCAAGGGGACCATACTTGGAGGTTCATGGGACTTAATAACCACATATAACTGGGCTTAGAACCCTACTTATAATTGGGATAACCCCTATAAGGCCTTTTAGGGGTATTATAAGTAGGGTTATCAGTACAGTTATAAGTGGTTAGCAAGTACCCCTTAACCCTAAACATCCCTAAACCCTTAGTAAGTACCATGAACCTTCAAGTACTAAGGGGCCGTAGGCCCGACCTTCGGGTGTTTCAGTACCCAAACACGGGGGGCTTAGGGACCCTAAACCCTAAACCCTGCAAACCCTGTGCAAAGATTGATTCGGTGTCGAGCCCAACTTCCAAGCAAGCGGATCTGTCCGCATGCCAAAGGGCCCCGAAACCCTAAACTTCCCTAAACCCTAATCCCTAAACCCTAAAAACTAAAGACTAAACCCTAAACACTAGTCACTCAGACTCAACCCTAAGCCCTAATGCCTAAACCCTAAACCCTAAACCCTAAACCCTAAACCCTAAACCCTAAACCCTAACCCTTAACCCTAAACCCCCACCCGGGGCTCTTGGGAACCGAAAACCCCTCTATTAACTATTACACCGCCTTCTACCCAGAGAGCCCCGACTGCCCCTTTAAAAACAAATACTTTGAATAATAATAAATAAACGAAACTCGGGATCGTTAGCATGTTTTTTTATGGTACATTCCTTCATTCAGGGGTATTGGGCCCTTTGGATACCACCAGAGCAAAGGGCCTCTGGTGGGGCAGCGAGAACCACACCAAAACACGTGAACGTGACGGTTTAGGGTTTAGGTTTTTGGGGTTTAGGGTTTAGGGTTTCGGGTTTAGGGTTTAGGATTTCGGGCATGCCACAGGAATAACCAGCCAGCGCACGCAGGATTTCGGCCGCTAGGATGGCGAGGCAGTTCCCCACAAGCAGGCTAACCGAACTCCAGTACTCCTGCATGTCATGAGCCAAGGAACTCCAATACCCCTTAATTAGGGAATATATCCTGCAATTATAAGAGGGTTCCTTGTATGGTTTAAGGAATGTTCCTTAATTGAGGGGTATTGGAGTCTCTGGGAGCTGACGTTCGTGAGTTGAAAACGGCTGGTCTGGTCGGAACGGGCCCTGTAGCCTTAAAGTGCAGCTTGTAAACACTCCCCTGTCAAGATGGCGCTGTACTAGTTACTAGCCCCCGCCATGTGGCGACGGTTCAACCCCAAACTCGTCCCAACATGACCTCCCTTGATCCCATAAGACACCCAGAACAAGCAAACCCCTTATACCAGGTTGGCCCTTGCTCTTGGTAATAAGGGCACCCTTTTTGGGTAGGTTTCTTTACAAGGAACCTTGAACCAAAAAAAAGGGGGAAAGGGTACCACTGGGCTCCCAAGTACTTCTTTGCTCACAGGTTCTGGGCCTCACAGTTTCGAAGCATGTATTGGGATCTCCTTAGGGGCGAAGCCGTGTATACTGGGGCCCACCCGACCTCATTGATAGAGTCAGCTCGCCACGGTCCAATCATTCAGGTACCCAAAGATCCCAAAATACCCCCGAATTTAAAAAAATATATGGTTGAAGGTGTAGTTCTCATCTAGGGGAACCTTCGTTCATACAAGAAGCCCTAGATGGCTTCAGATGCAGTGTACTTCCTAATTTCCAGGCTAGTTCTTGTAGGAAGCCATTTCATGGTGGAAGGTGCAACGATGGATTGAGAGATGGTGTAGTGCCCGTACCTACTCCTATCAACCGTAAACCCTAGACCCCAAGCCGCCTGCGAGGGGCCACATCGAGTTTTTCTTGGAAGCCCTTCTTGACCCCCCATAGCCCCACTTTCTGACCGCATATACGTACTAAGTCAAAAGGACTCCCAAGCGGAGCAGTCTCGTATGCGCGTGTAATAAGATACGCGCGTTGTTTTCCGGTAGGATCCTCTTGAAAGGGAGAAGAGGAGGCTGGCGTCCCACATACTCCAATGCCTTTAAGCAAGGAATATTTCCTTACAATATAACGGGGTTCCCTACATAGTTTAAGGAATTATCCTTAATTAAGAAGTATTGGAGTCTCTGGGTAGAGCGTGTGCGTGGGACTGTGGCTGGCATAAGATGCGCACCCTGCACACTTTTTGGGCGCGGACTCTGGCAACCCCTACTTGGAGGTTCTTGGGTAGTTATAAGTAGGGTGACAAGTATGGGAACTGTACTTGTAACTCTACTTAGGCAGGGTACTAGTAACCCTACTTATACAAACCCATGAAGCTCCAAGTGGACGGCTGGGCTTCGGGCTTAGGATTTCGATTCCCACTGTCAAGTGCTCCGAGCTGCAGAAGGTCACTCGGTCTCGTAAGGCTCAAGTTGTCGGCTGAAACGTGAGCCCGTTTGGGGTTTAGAGTTTAGGGTTTCGGGCCTTCGTTCTTTGATATACTCTTGGTGACACCAGGCCACTTGGAGGTTCATGGGACTTAATAACCACATATAACTGGGCTTAGAACCCTACTTATAATTGGGATAACCACTATAAGGCCTTTTAGGGGTATTATAAGTAGGGTTACAAGTACAGTTATAAGTGGTTCGTAAGTACCATGAACCTTAAACCCTAAACCCTAAACCCTGGGTTTAGGGTTTTTGTGGTCCTCTTGTGGGAGCCTTGGGCTCAGTGCGTGCGCCTTGTCCGCCGTGGCAAAGAAGCCCAAGAACGTCACGGAGGCGTTGAGGTGGCGATATGACTCGGCCTCTGGGAGGAGGGGGTTTAGGGTTTAGGGTTTAGGGTTTAGGGTTTAGGGTTTAGGGTTTAGGGTTTAGGTTTAGGGTTTAGGGTTTTATATAGGGGTTTAGGGGTTTAAGGGTTTAGGGGTTAGGGGTTTAGGGGTTTAGGGGTTTAGGGGTTTAGGGGTTTAGGGGTTTAGGGGTTTAGGGGTTTAGGGGTTTAGGGGTTTAGGGGTTTAGGGGTTTAGGGGTTTAGGGGTTAGGGGTCTAGGGGTTAGGGGTCTAGGGGTCTAGGGGTAGGGGTTTAGGGGTTTAGGGGTTAGGGGGTTTAGGGGTTTAGGGGTTTAGGGGTTTAGGGGTTTAGGGGTTTAGGGTTTAGGGGTTAGGGGTTTAGTAGGGGTTTAGGGGTTTAGGGGTTTAGGGGTTTAGGGGTTTAGGGGTTTTAGGGGTTTAGGGGTTTAGGGGTTTAGGGGTTTAGGGGTTTAGGGGTTTAGGGGTTTAGGGGTTTAGGGGTTTAGGGGTTTAGGGGTTTAGGGGTTAGGGGCTTAGAGGTTTGGGGGTCTACTTGGAGATTCCTGGGTAGTTGTAAGTAAGGTTATAAGTACCTTGAATAGGGTTATCAGTGCCATACTTCTCACCCTACTTACAACTACCAAAGAACCTGCAAGTAGGGTTTGGGGGTTTAGGGGCTCATGTACCTCCTTGCAGCAGAGAAAAGTACGACTGCTCTGTGACAGGGCCATCAGTAGGAGTCTACGCGGCCCTAAACCCTAAACCCTAAACCCTAAACCCTAAACCCTGAACCCTGAAATAGGGCTCGCGCAATTCGTGTAAGGATCTCCGATTGCAGCAGGAGAAGGATCCTTGGATCTTGAGGGACCAGAAGAGCCTGATACCCCGTAATTAAGGATATGTATATATATATATATACATATATACATATATACATATATATATATACTGGGCACCTGAAACCATCTAGGGTATATCCCATAGTTAAGGAATAGGCCGTAGCCATACATGCCACACTTCAGGGGGGATCGGTTGGGATGTTCCCCCTCATGCTAACAGTCCTTCATAGGGTTTGTAATACAGGGTACTATCGTCCCTCCTAAGGACTGCGAGAAGAAGGGGGAACACCCCAAGTTTTTGAAAATTTCAAGGTATCGGGCTTTCGGGAGACTGGTGCTCGCCGGAGCATCATGAGGATGGGCGTAAGCAGCCCGCGGGTAGGGCGACCCATCGCTCCCCTGCACGCACTTCAACCCTAAACCCTAAGCCCTAAACACCCTAAACCTTCGGGTTTCATTTCTGTTTCTTGCCGCCCGCCTCGCAGGGTTAAGTCGAAGGCCCCAATATCCCTATGAAAATATCAGTAGCCGGTAAACCTGGTAGACCGCCGACATTTTAGCGTTGTTTTGCTTGCTGAGCTTTGTTTGCTAATTAGGGGTTGGTGGGGCGTGGGGAGGGGTTCCCTCATTTGCAACAAAGAATCCTAATACAATTTCTCAGGAAAACTCATAATTACGAGACCCTCGGAAGAAATCTGCAGAACGCCCTCTCATTGTCATCCTGAATGGGGTGCTACAGCTACACACACAACATGCCGGTTCCACCCACAATCCCAAAGACCCCCATATCCCTCAATACAAGATATAATGCTCCGTAAATGCAAACCATATTCGGATTCTTGCTACCTTGTCATAACTTCAGCCCAAGGAGCCCAATACCCCTTAATGAAGGAACATTCCTTAAGTCATACTGAGGATCCCTAGATGGTTTTAAGGACTATTGCTTTGTTAGTTGAGGGGTTTTTGGGCTCTCTGGGAGGAATACTCCTCGGATTCAGGGGTCATGGAGTCTCTGTGAACTGAGCAAGCCCAGGTGGGCAGCTGCAATCTTACTTTTCGGCAAGCAGAGGCCCTGTTCTGGGAGGGCTTGGGGACTCTTTAAAAACCTAAATGTTGATGGCTTTATAAGGGATTAAGGGCAATGAAAAAGTAAAAACAAATTATGTTCAAACAAACCCCTGTGTTGAGGGGGAGCGATACTTCCTGAGCTGTCCTCGTACCAGGCAGGCTGAGCAGGCAAAGCAGGGTTCCCATCACGGCGTACATGGCCAAGGTGTCCAAATCCTGGCTGCTCGAGCAAGAAGGGTTTAGGGTTTAGGGTTTAGAGTTTAGAGTTTAGGGATTCGGGTTTATGGGGTGCAAGCCCTGAGGTTGCACTTTCCTACAGTTTCCGCGGTGCAACTCGAGGCATCCACCCCTGGTGATCAAGAACCTGGACCCTTCACCCTAAACCCGAGTCCCTACACCCTAGACGACTATGCCTTTTGTTGCGTAGACAGACAATGCAGTCCGAAACCCCACACCCTTCCTCCTACTGGGCTCGCACACACCCATGTGACGACTAGACCCCCGAACCACCTCGACGCCTAAACTTTAAACCCTAAACTTTAAACCCTAAACCCTAAACCCCAAACCCCAAACCCCAAACCCCAAACCCTAAACCCTAAACCCTAAACAACACCCGTGAACTCAAGCCCAGGCTGCCCAAGGCGGCGGGTAGAGGAGGCCGGCGACGCCCATGGAAACCTGGAGCCGCTGTTTAGGGTTTAGGGTTTAGGGTTTAGGGTTTAGGGTTTAGGGTTTAGCGTTTAGGGTTTAGGAAATAGGGTTTAGGGGTTAGCACCTCTTAAGGAACCCAGAGAGCCCAAAACCACTCAGTCAACGAATAGGGTTTAGGGTTTAGGGTGTAGGGTTTAGGGTTTAGGGTTGACGGTTTAGGATTTAGGGTTTAGGGTTTCGGGTTTAGGGTTTAGGGTTTAGGATTTAGGGTTTAGGAATAGACCTATACGGCCACTAAGCCCGGAAATACATATGGAAGCCTAACACTACGAGGGTTTAGGGCATCAGCCTTATCTATTTAGGTTCGGAAATCGCCTGTGGCCCTTGTCGGGCCACTTGCAAGGAGCCCCAGGCCTTCTCAACTTCGCGTGTCCTTTGAGCTTTGTTGAGTTAGCATGTCACTGGGGGCCCACGGCCCCAATCCCAGTTCCCCCTTAAACCCTAAACCCTAAACCCTAAAACCCTGAAACCCTGAAACTCTGAAACCCTTAAACCCTGAACCCTGAACCCTGAACCCTGAACCCTAAACCCTAAACCCTAAACCGGCCCCAGTCCCGACATCCCAGAGAGGCCCTGGCGTAGCTAGAAGTGGTGTGGATACAGGCGTCCCTTCGGTCGTAAGCAAGGCCCAGAGGCTTTACCGAACTCTCCGCATCCCGCTCCTTTCCCAAAACCTTCTACGCCCGAAACCCTAAACCCTAAACCCTATCCCTAAACCCTGAACACCAACCCTCAACCCTGTACCCGAAACCCTGAACCCTGTACCCTAAACCCTGAACCCTAAACCCTGAACCCTGAACCCTGAGCGGGTTGCAAATACCCCTGAACCCCCCAAGTAGAGCCTTCGGGCTAACGGGCCCTAAGGGGAAGGCCGTGGATCGACGTACCCTTGTTCTAGATTGTAGGGTTTGGGGTTTAGGGTCTTGTGTTTTATGGTTTTAGGGTTTTTGGGGTTTAGGGTTTGATTTTAGGGTTTGGGGTTTAGGAGGGTTCAGGTCCCCGTCTTGGTCCAGCTTTGGGCCCTGGTCTTAACCCTGAACTCCCCTACCCCCACACTCCCCAGAAGACTCGAGAAGGGACCCTGACTTAGGGGCTTGGGGCTCCTCCTGTACTCCCCTGAGAACCTCAATAAAAACAATATGTTCAACATCCTCTTGGGTTATATATAAACAAAATAAAATATAAAAAAAAAAAAAAAGTCCCAAGGGGGATATAGACTCAGGTATGTAAAGCCCTCCCTCTGAAGCGCAGCCGAAGTCGCGAAACCGCCAAGGGCGGCAATACGACTCGGCGCCAGGTCCAAGGAAGAAGCCGCTGTTCTTGCAGGGGAGGTTCAGGGTTTAGGGTTCAGGGTGTAGGGCTTAGGATGCGGTAGGCCCCCTAAAGTCCTGAATACCCTATACCCTTAAACCCTAAACCCTAAACCCTGAACCCTAAACCCTAAACCCTAAACCCTGAATCCCAAGGCCCTTGGCCTCCTCGAACGTGCGGCTGCTTCCGACCCGGCATCCATCTCGAAGACAGCGACAACGCCAGGCTCCATCTCGGCCTCCTCACGAATACCCTGTGACTAACTAAGGAACACAGTTTAGGGTTTAGTGTTCAGCGTTTAGGGTTCGGGGTTTAGGGTTAGGGTTTAGGGTTTAGGGTTCAGGGTTCAGGGTTTAAGGGCATTAAGAGTATGCGCCTGGGGTAGGATTGTGCACCCTCTCCACGCTAGCCAGATCCAGGTTGCTGCATCACGCTGCTGTTAGCCAACGACCAAAACCTAAACCCTATAAACCCTAAACCCCAATAGGAACAACTTTGGAGAGTGCTACGCCACCACGTTTTGGGGCAAGCATGACTTTCGGGAAGCCAACAACTGGAACCCTGCACCCCAAAACCCTAAACCTTAACCCTAAACCCTAAACTCTAACCCTGACCCCTAAGACCCCAAACCCTAACCCTGACCCCTAAACCCTAAACCCTAAACCCGAAACCCTAACCCCTAAACCCTAAACCCTAACCGCTAAACCCTAAACCGCAACCTTATGAAATCCCTTCCCCCCTCCATCCTCACGTTGCAACGAGCCCAATCCCCTTGATGAAGGAACTTACCGGAGATCAGATTCGGCTCCCTATATGGACTAAGTGATATTGGCCGACCGACGAATAACCTAGGCAAAAAAACAAGGTGCCCTTGTTGCCTTAAAAAGGCTTCGACGGAGCCTAAACTCCCAAAAACAAAGAAATAGGGCCCCCTCGGGGTCTAGGGTTTTGAGTTTAGGGTTTAGGGTTTACGGTTTATTGTCCCTAAACCCTAAACCCTAAACCCTAAACCCTAAACCCTGAACCCTAAACCCTAAACCCGAAACCCTAATTCTAAACCGTGGCTTCCGCTCTCTGGAAACCACGCGGTGAACTTCAGCGATTTGCCTGCTCCTGACCGCTGGCTGGCAGGTCGGTGAGCTGTACAAATCCTGGAGCAGGGACCCCTAAACCCTAAACCCTAAACCCTAAACCCTAAACCCTAAACCCTAAACCCACAAAACACCTCTGTCAAACTCATGCGAAGTCGAAACCCGCAGCCCAAAGGCCAACCCCTAAAACCGATCTAAACCCTAAACCCTAAACCCTAAACCCTAAACCCTAAACCC